GAATGTGCTGGGGATGGAGGGTGCTGATTGCAGATGTAAGACCATGGACCAAGCTTGGTGAGTTTTCATTTGTGGGATGACTGGCTCTTTTCTCTCTCCCCTCTGCAGAGAACAGCTTCAAGCGGATCGGCCCGCCTGCAGAAAAGCCCGTGGAGAAAATCCAGAGAATTGAAGTCATCCCCAGACCTGTTCCTCAGAACCTCCATCAACCCCGGATGCCCCCGTACCCCTTCGTGCACCCTCCCTTCCCGCTCCCTCCCGTCCGTCCCATGTACAACAACATCCCCCTCAACATCGGCCCGATCCCTGCCCCCTACGTCCCCCCGTTACCCAACATGAGGGTGAACTATGATTTTCCCCAGGTCAACGTTCAGCTGGAGCACAACTTGCCTATGCACTTTGGCCCTCAGCCTCGCCACAGGTTCTGACCTGGTTCAAACAGCAATTGGCGTAGAGTCACTGCAGGGCAAAGCCACCCCAGTAACATCACCCTCCCCCCACTTCCTGCTCCAGCCCCTCTTGGTTTCTCTGCTGTTACTTGCCTTAAAGGTGGAGAGAGAAACTTAGTATTTGCACTTAGCAAAACATTATATTAAAAGAGAGAGAAACCCTGTAAAGATGTGCATGTTCTGCAACTTTGTATAACAATAGCTGAAAATAAATAGGTGGTTTATTAAAAAAAAAATAAAAAAAATAAAAAAAATATTTTTCTTTACTTTCAGGTAGTAAACTGTTCTGATATTCTGTGTGGAGAAAAAGAAAAGTTCCTGTATTATATTGTAATTTGAATTTTTGTAAATAAATTTGTGCACTCAGCTTTTACCTCTGTGCTTTCATTACAGCCAAAACATCGTCCTGCCATCCCCACCGCGTCGGCTCGATGCCGGGGTCACGCTGGGCAGCGGGGGCGAGCGGGCAGAGGTAGGCTGGCACAGGGGCAGAGCTCGGCTGCCACAGAAAACTCTGTAAGTTACAAGGCAAAACCCATCTGAGCCTCCTGGAAAAGCTTAATCCGTTCCACATGCTGCTTCTGAGGGGAAAAATGGGATGGGATAGAAAATGGTTTCCAGTCGTTCCTTTAAATGGAAACCAGGATGTGTGTGTCATGGGGGGAGCGGCTGGGGGGACCTTCCCCCCTCGCAGGAGCGATGGGAAATACAGAATCCAGGATTAAAAGCTGAAGGAAAGGGGGGAGATGGAGTGTTGGAGCCCCTTCCCCACACAGGGACCCCCCCCTCAGCAGTACCAGCACACCCCCCTCCCTGCCTCCTCCCCAGTGTGGGTGTCAGGGCCGGGTTTGCTAGTGCACACGCGGGTGTCACCGCGGGGCCAGGGGCCAGCGCGTGGCAATCGGAGCTGCTCAGCGTTTCCTGCGCAGCCTTCATTTTACAGCACAATGAACATCCTTCCTTCCTTCCCTTGGCCCTGGCTGTGCTGCTTACACCCCTGTCTGAAGTTGAAGGTCCCTCCTGCTGTCCCCCCCCACCCTGGGATGTGTGCTGGGGGGGCTGTGCAGTCCCTCTTTCTCAAAATTTGCTTCTAACAAACCAACTTTACATTTTAAAAGCCAAACGGGAGCCCGTGGGTGACCTGCAGGTGCCAAGCGGGGCTGCGGGAGATGAAGGGCAGCGAAGAAAGCTGGGGAGGGACTCTTTATAAGGGCAATTAATGACAGAACAAGGGGAAATGGGTTTAAACTGGACCTCAATCCAGCAAAGGTGGATCCCTCAACGCAAATGACAGGGGATGTCACAACTGGAAACATTCCAGGTCAGGTTGGACGGGGCTCTGAGCAACCTGATCTGGTTGAAGAGCTGGATGAGGCTTTGAGCAACCTGGTCTCGTGGAAGGTGTCCCTGCTGCTGGCAGGGGGGTTGGGACTGGATGAGCTTTAAGGTCCCTTCCAACCCAAACCAGTCTGGGATTCTATGGCTGCTCTGGGCCCAGGTGATGGAGTTGGCCCCCAGCCCCTCCATAAGCACGTGTCACATCCCATCTTCGGAGCCAAAACTGAGGTTGGCCCCAGCATCAATCCTGGGTGGGTTGGTTGAGTTTTAGGGCTGGTTTCGGCTGTCTCGGGGGCTGGGGGCACATCCTGGACATCCTGGCTCCACCACACCATGTTTTGGCCTGAGCTGAGCTGCAGCTGATGGGCTTCCCAGCTCCTTCCCATCCTTAGCGTTTGTTTTTATTGTCCCTTCTCCGTGTCACTGGGCAGAGGAGGAGGGAACTTACATTGTATTGGGGGAGATATCTGAGCTAAGGGGGGAAAAAACTGCTGCTCTGCAGCACTGCCAAGCTAAAGGAGGGCATGGCTTCACTCTGGCTGCAAGGGCAGGAGAGGTGGTTTCCAGGAGGTGGTGGTTTGCAGGAGAGATGGTTTCCAGGAGGAGGTGGTTTCCTGGAGGTGGTAGTCTCCACCAGAGCTGGTTTCCAGGAGGGGTTTGCAGGAGAGCTGGTTTACTGGTGCATCTCCCTGAGCCATGCGTAGCTCACCCATCCCCAAAGATGCCCATGGGCTCAGTGTCTTGGGGCTGCTCTGAGCACCTCAAGAGGTGAACCAACCTCCAGCCAGCTTTGGCTTTAAGCTTGCTCAGTGGAGATGAGCCTGATGGTCACCATTCCCTTCTCACCAACTTATCTGAGCCCTCAAGAGCCAGCTCAGTCTTTGTGAAGCAATTTGACCCCCAAAAGCTCAAGCACCCCAACTGCTCCATGCTCAGACTCATATGCCCCTCACGAAAAGACTGTTGCAGCTCCAGCTGTGGTCACCCTGACAGACCACCCACCACCGCTCGTATCTGAATGCAGGTTTTATTTTTTATTCATCTTTCTCCATTTGAAGCTAATTATTTGTTTTTTTTTAAGTTATACAAATGGCACTTACAAAAAAAATAATAATAAAAACAAACCCAAAAAAACGAACAAACCCAAAATGAGATGTTTTCAGAGAGTCACGACACCCAATAAGAGGAGACAGGAGAGATGTTGACCTAGTGTCACACGGAAGAAGCCAGAGCGGGAGTTACATGGTTCGAACTGTGACAGGGGACGGGGAGGAGGTGACACAGGGAGGTGACACGGGGATGGGGGGTGAAGACCAGCGAAAAGTGTGTGTGCTGAGTCACAGGGTCACTCAGGGCTTCATCAAGACACTCAGTCCTTCGAGGCGTGTGGTGGTCCCTGGGCGCGCGCGTGGTGCCAATGTGAGCGCGGGCAGCCCCTGGATGTGAGTGCAGAGCTGAGGTAGAGTCCCAGCCGGGATCCCCTGTGCTGGGGACAGACCCCAGCCTGGGCTTGTCCCCCTGGGCAGGGGACAGGTCACTCGCTCTTCCAGCTGAGAGTTTAGCACCAAGCTCCTATGGAGGGTCCTCCCTCCACATGGCTTAAGGCTGACGAGCCCCTGCCTTGCCCCCGGCAATAGGCATCGGCCCTATGTTGTCACAGCAGCGATGCCATGAGCACCCTTGGTGTGGGGTGGGCTGGGGTAGGGGGAAAAGGCTCCTTGGTGTATTTTCAGGGAGCAAATACCGGCCCCAGGGAGGCCCCAAAGGATAAAGTGCCTTTCAACACCCTAACGAACACGTCAGCATCACCCGTTACGAACAGCGATGTGCAGACCCAGCACAGACACCAGCCGGTGCCACAGCGCTGTGGAGAGCACAGAAACAGAGACCAACAAAAATAATGCTGCTGCTTTGGGCTTTTCTCTTTTTTTTTCCTTTTTTTCCTTTTTTTTTTTTCTTTTTCCAGTAGGGTTGCAATGGCACGAGAGCCAAGCCCTGGGGGGGGGGGGGGGCGGAGC